TTTTATATTTCATTAAAAAAATGGGTATTTTGTTGTGTTTTGGGGCATTTAATTAAATTTTTCACTAAATATTGGGGTTTAATAAGGAGTTGCGCTAATATTGTGCAACATAAAAATTTGCAACTACCACCATTTTATTCTATAGGGTCTTGGCATTCAGAAAATATATAATGTTGGGGGGTTTTAAGTAATTTTCAGGCCTAAAATGTGGAATATAACATGGGTACAAAAAAAATGAAAAAAAGGCCTCAGTCATGAAGGGGTTAAAGAATCTGAGGGTTTAATGTTACTAACTACAAAATCATACAATTGTAGTTCCACAACAGCTGGATGACCCGAGTTGCTCCCTACTCCTGCCTAACAGTCTTCCAATCTGTAATGTAAACATTTAGCAGGAACTCTAGAAAGTGGGAGTGGCGTAAGCCGAGCTGCTCAGATAAGGACTTTAGGCAAAATAAATGCAGTAGTGAATAAAACTATACAAAAAAAGAAAAGTAGGAGGAAGACTCAGGCAGGGCTGATAAATCCCATTGCTTGGACTGCAGCAGAGGCAGTGTTGCCAGTTCAAACAGGAAATAAGTGTACACAGAATTTTGGTCAGGATCAATAGGCTTTTTTTGTACTTACAGCATTTTTTAAAGGGCTAAAACGAGGAAATGCACATGTATTGCACAGATGAAGGGTTGAAACCAACTAATTGATTAATCGATAGGGATGCACCGATACAAGTATCGGTGCCGATACCGAGTATTTGGGCAAGTACTCGTACTTGCCCAAATGCTCCAATACCGGAACTTCTGGTCAGAGGGAGAGTGCCGAGGGAGCATGGAGCCGGCTTCCTTTCCCATCAGGAAGCCAGGCAGTGGGTTATGACCCACCTCCCGCCTTCAAGTCTAGCAAAGCAGCCTGGCTTACTAACCAATCAGGAAGCCGGATGGCGCGTCATTACTCGCATCCCAGCTTCCCGATTGCTAAAAAATAATCTTGTAGCCTTACACAGATGTACTGAATGTTTTTTTTTTTTTTTGCCCAGATATGCACTGATCCTGTCACTACAAGGTCAACACTAAAAGAATGCATAGATATAGATAGAGAAGATGCTCTATACTTACCTTTCTAGCAGCCCGTGTGGTAAAAGGTATGTGATCCCTAAGAATGAACCTTACTTATTGGTGTAATTTTGGCAACTTAAATATAACATTTAAAGTGTCGTTCTAGCTCTTTGAATCTTGTCCGCTCCTAACTTCCTGTGCGTCAGTGTCAGATGCAGCTGTGAAAATGCATTGATACAGTGGCAGTAAATGCAGAAGTGCATGCCGGTAGAGTGGTAGAGAGTGAAGGGGAAAATATTGAGTAAGGGTGAGGTAGACCAGGGGTGGACAAATTAGAGGAGCCAGGTAGCCAAAGCTCCTTAACCAGTTGACATCCGCGGTGTTAAACCCCCTTCCCATCCAGGCCATTTTTCAGTATTCAGCGCTGCGGTACTTTGACTGACATTTATTCCGTCATGCAGCGCTGTACTGAAATGAATTTTATACCCTTTTTTGGGGACAGATAGAGCTTTCTTTTGGTGGTATTTAAATCACCACTGGGGTTTTTATTTTTTTACTATATTAAAAGGAAAAATTACCGAAATTTAAAAAAAAAACGTTTCCCCTATATTAACCTCTTGCCGTCCGCCCGTAGTAGAAAAACAGACGGATGGCACTGCTGCATTGGCGGGTGGCCGTCGCCAGACGGCATTTTTTTTCTGCTCGTGCGCGCCCCCCCGCGGGCAGAAAAGACCCGTCCAATGCGAACACCCGGTACCGGGTGTTTCACATATAGGCGATCAGCGGGTCCATAGCCCGCCGATCGCCTATATGTGCTCGTTTGCGTCCGCCCCTGACCCCTCACCTTGAATCCCGGGATCCGCTGCCCCAGTATGGAATTTGAGCACCATTTTGGACAACATTATCCTTTTATTTTCCTTCCAAAAGCAGGATTTTGACTTCAGCTGAAACCCCATTATTTACCAATACCTACCTGAAATAATCTAATATTTTGGCCACTGAAACTATTTAATCCTGAAACTAAGGGGAAAACAAACAGAATTTCACCCACTGTAATCTTCTCTTACAGTAACCTTTGGATAACTACACCATACATTTTCTGGGTTGTAGATCTACCCGGAGCAGAGCTTTATCACAGCTTTTGAGGTTAGGAGGAATAGCAATCAAGGAGTCATACAATTAGTCACGTCATTGTAAGCTACAGACTCCTTTCAAGGTAAAGGAAATACCTCAACCCACTCCTACTTCTGGTTCATCAACTCCTACTAGGCCCCATGACAGAAAACATGCCGAGGTTTCACACATCCTTTAACTCCCAACACCAGAAATGTAAAAGCTTTTCTAGGGGCAATGCCTTCACTTTACTTTCCTACATGTTGTATACTTTTGACCCTACCTGCTCAGTAGCAGATCTCCTTTCAGTATTAAGAAGGAACAGCAGCATAACTTCAGCACATAATTAAAGGAAGCTCAGTGCATTCTTCTGGCTAATAAGGGGTTACTTGTCTGCTGAACATTTCACAAGTATGAAAGTATCTCATGAACCACTAGAGAATAATGTGACTGGTTCCTGGCAGGATGAGTTTCGAGTGATAGCACAAGTCAGCAATAAAAGCATGAGGAAGCTGTGAGAGCCGAGGCCTACAATAACACAAGCAAGGGTGGGTAACTGACATGACAAGCAATGCAGCACTACATACCAGAACCCCTACCATATTTAATACATTAACTTCAGAACAAATACTAAATGAAAGCGGATCAAATGGTACTGAGCAACAATATATGCAGGAAATGCATGTCCCAGACCAACCAAAAAGCTACAAACTGTCCACAACGGTTATCAAAGGGAACCCTTCCATGGAATACTCCCTGGGGTTTCATTGTTTTCCCCTTGCATAAAAGACTACTACAAACGCCTTACTTCTTACCCAAACTGGCAATGTGGACACTAAAGATTACACATCCTGTACATTAACACTCAACACTGCTATAGTCAGATCAATAAATAGTTCTGACTTGCTAGCCATGGGTTACTGTACTTGCCAAACAAGGCCAGTGATACATCATTCCTCTATAGTCACTCATAAGGAAAAACCACTAGTTAGAACTATTACAGAATTTCCTTCTATAAGCTACAACATGTACAGAAAGTTGTTAATAGTTGCTAGGTGTTGACCCAAATAAATTACAAACACAACTAAGGAATAAAATTGATTGATTAATGGATCATGACCTTAAAACAAGCCGGCTATTATACAGCTATTTAGCATAACAAGGTATACGGGTGTTGACAAACTTTTGGATGTGTATAAATAGCTGGATCTCTCACTGTTCAACAACATCACCGCTGTCAGCATTTTACAACAAATTCTAGGGACAATCTGCGGTTCAGATGGCGTACTCACCCAGGATGGTCTCCAATCAATAACCAATAACAACAATTTTAAAAAAAGGGAGTACTTCTCAGCAATTTCAGAGTGGATATTCGTTGTAATAAATGTTTACCTAAAAGATGAATAACCCCAACCTATAATCTAAGGCCCCTTTCAGACAGGCGGTCCAATCAGGTCAGTCTGTCAGTTTTTCAAGCGGACCCGATCGAATGCCCAATATCGGGCAATGGGCAGCGGCATCTAAACAGACAATTACATCCAGTTGCCCCCGGTTCCAGTCAGGTCAAGAAAGACAAATAGAACAGTTTCGATGGAGCGGATCGTGCCAGGTTAGGGGTAATCCGATTTCCTATAGACCAATACAGGGTGCGGTCATTTCAGTATTTTCCGCTAACGCAAGACGGAGCAGAAAATTGGACCGATACGGATGTCACGGCGGTGACATCCGATCCGTACCGTTCCTATCAGGAGAGGATCTGCGCATGGAATCCCCTCATAATCGGACAGTGTGAAAGGGGCCTAAGTCACCCCCAATTTAGGATAAATCATGGTGCCACCCTGCACCCCCCACTCAACCAGCCCCCCAACATACCTGAATCGCAAGCTTTTTCTTCCCGCAGGCTTCTGTGTACTGTTGAATGTGTCGCCACTGTGCGTGGCCCTGCCCACCACCATGGCAGAGAGATGCGTAGTTCTCAATTGAGCTCAAGCAAGGTGACATCACTACACTTAGAGCCCATTGATACTGTCCTCTAGCCAGTATGAGTGCGTTTATTAATTTTTGGAATATGCCTCTTAAAACCACACACACAATTTTTTTGGGTTGGTAAAGTCAATGCACATACACCTCGCTGCGTTCAGCCACTTTAGCGGGCACACATCTCATCCTCGATAGTGTAGACAACCCATGATGCCTTGTGCTCCCTTTTGTCTCCCTTAAGCTGCAAGTGGTGAGGCACGGTGTATCTGCTTGGCGTGTACAGGGAGTGCATAGCGACAACACTATCTAGCGAAGCACTTAAGTGTTGTCACCCTGGGACAGGAAGTCAAGGAACTGGCAGCATCAGAGTTTTAAAAAACAAGTCTATGTGAAGAAAAGGAGGAACACGACACTGCTAGAGGAAATGGATGGTAAGCACCGGTTTTAGAAATCCTTAGGTTTAGATACACTTTAAGAAGCTGTGAGCACAGAAAGATGAGGAGATCAGAAAGGGAGGTCTTAAAAGGACTTATGGTCATTTCTAAGGGCATTACAAGGGGGACATCTTGAAACTCAGGGGCTGTGTATGGAACTGGTAACCAATAAAAGAAGTGGGGTATGAGAAATAAAGTGAGGGTCACTCAAGGCACAGCCCCCTCCACACTGGGAACTGAAACTTTCCATTGTGTGGAATATGGAGGTGACCTGCTGGCTGTACAGCAAGACCCCCATCATAGGGGGGCTCATATGTGCTGGCCTGCAGAGGGCGCTGTTCCAGAGCAATGTATGTGGATGACAGGGCACCGATTCAGGCGGCCTCCATTGTTTCCCAGGACTGACCCATGGCATACTTACTTTCTGTATTCTTTTCAGCGCCATGGGAGGGAAGGGAAGCAGCAGAACGGCGGGTAGGGAACGAGGGAAGTGTTGGCTCAGAAGGTCTCAGGTACGGCGGGGTCGCTCCGGGAACGCAGGGTAACAGCTCAGGCCTGTCACTGCGGCTCCTGTGTTATGAAGAGGAAACGAGTCACTTGCGCTTACAGCCGGCCCGTGGCCTGACTCACTGGGGGCGGAGCTGAGAGTAGCGAGGCGGGGAGTGCCTAGATCTCTCGCTTTTCTTTCGGCTTTCATGAATGACGTCGTGACGGAGCTGCGCAAAGCTAGCAACGGTGTTCCGGTGGATTTTTTTTTTTACAACTTTATTTAAACAGTCGACTAAGAGGACATTTTCTGATTTTGTGGCCTGTCAGCTCTCTTAAGGGCTTTGTTGCAGCAACTGGGAGATATTAAAATAAACCGGCAGAGAAGATTTACAATACATTAGCTGTTATCTCTTTTACATTTCTACAAATGTTGTGCTGACATATTGCGCAGAGCTGTGCAGAGAATATTCCCCAATTCACACCACAGGAGCTTACATTCTAATGTCCCCGTCAAAGTCACACATAATACATTTATATTTCTATGGCTATAACATATACTACAGTACTGTACAGAGAACACGGCCATTCATATCATTATGCAACAAAGAAGCTGCCACTCTAATGTTCCCACAGCAGTCACACATTATTATTTTTATACATTTCTATGCCTCTGACCTATACCACAGTGCTGTACACTGATCCTTTCACACTGGTCTCTGAACCAAAGGAGCTTACACGCTAATGTGCCCACAACAGTGCCGCAACGAACTCACTATTAAACATTTATATTATATTTCTATGCCTCTGACCTATACCACACTGCTGCAGACTGATCCTTTCACACTGGTCTCTGAACCAAAGGAGTTTACACTCTAATGTGCCTACCAGTCACACACTATTATACATTTACAAACCCAAGTCCAAAAAAGTTGGGACGCTGTTTATACAGAATGCAATAATTTGCAAATCTCATAAACCCATATTTTATTCACAATAGAAAATAGAAAACATATCCAATGTTTAAACTGAGAAAATGCACCATTTTAAGAAAAAATTAAGTAATTTTGAAATTGCCTAAAAAAAGTTGGGACAGGACAACAAAAAGCTGTCAAAGTAAGTGTTACTAATGCTGGGCACGCACCTTACAACCATCGCAAGACTTTTGTCTTGCGATGGTTGTAAGGTAATTTAAAAAACGTACGATCTGCCTATCTTGGACAGGCAGATTGTACTTGCGATGATCGCAAGCCACGCCCCCTGAGGGGCGGGCTTCCGATGACCGCAATGCCGAACGGGTAGTGTGCGCTTGCGCACACTGGCCCGTCCGGCTTTTATCCTACGAACATGCTACACACACGCCGAACATCGCACGATGCTCGGCGGGTTTTCGAACATGTTCCTAAGATAAAAGTCGTGCGACCTTATAGTAGTAGAGGTCGCACGGCTTGCACACACCTTATGATGATCGTACGATCGCGGGATTTCCCGCGATTATCGCAAGGTGTGTGGGCACCTTAACAAGGAAGAGCTGGGAGAACATTTTGCAACTAATTAGTTTCATTGGCAACAAGCCAGTAACATGATTGGCTATAAAAAGAGCATCTTAAAGAGTCAGTGTCTCAGAATTAAAGATGGGCAGAGCTTCACCAATCTGTGAAAATCTGCGTCTACAAATTGTTAAACAATTTCAGAATAATGTCCCTCAATGTAAAATTGCAAAGACTTTAAACATATCATCATCCACAGTACATAATATCTTCAAAAGAGTCAGAGAATCTGGAGAAATCGCTGTGTGCGCAAGGGACAAGGCCGAAATGCAAAATTGAATGCCCGCGATCTTCAGGCCCCAAGACAGCACTGCATTAAACACAGGCATTATTCTGTGATGGACATCACTGCATGGGCTTGGGAATACTTCCAAAAATCACTGTCTGTGAATAGTGATGGGCTCGGGCATGTTCGCAGCACCACGTGCCGAGCCCGTCAGGAAGCTGGCAGCGCCAATCACAGGTACTGAGACATTATCCCGGTCCGCAGCTGCAGAGATCGGGAAATGTCCCCGTGCCTGTGATTGGCGCTGTCAGCTTCCTGGCGAGCTCGTCACGTGGAGCTGCGAACACGCCCGAGCCCATCACTATCTGTGAACACAGTTCACCATGCCATCCAAAAGTGCGAGTTAACGCTCTATCGTGCCATATCTGAACATGATCTAGAAATGCTGCCATCTTCTCTGGGCTAAAGCTCATTTTAAATGGTCTGTCGCAAAGTAAAAAACTGTTCTGTGGTCAGACTAACTGAAATTGAAGATTCTATTTCACAACCATGGGCACCGCGTCCCCCAGACTAAAGAGGAGAGGAACCTTCCGGCTTGTTATCAATGCTCAGTTCAAAAGCCTGCAATGGTATGGGGGTGCATTAGTGTGTATGGAATGGGCAGCTTGCGCATCTGGAAAGGCACCATCATTGCCGAAAGATACATCCAGGTTTTAGAGCAGCATATGCTCCCATCCAGATGACATCTTTCAGGGAAGGCCTTGGATATTTCAGCACGACAATGCTAAACCGTATACTGCATCTATGACAACAGCATGGCTTCGTAGTAGAAGAGTCTAGGTGCCTAACTAGCCTGCCTGCAGTCTAGACCTTTCACCAATTAAAAATATTTGCAACCCCTTGAAACGAACAATATGACAAAGAAGACCCAGGACTGTTGAACAGTTAGAATCCTATATCAGGCAAGAATGGGACAACATTCCTCTCCCAAAACTCCAGCAACTGGTCTCCTCAGCTTTCAGACATTTACAGTGTTGTTAAAAGAAGAAGGGATGCTACACTGTGGTAAACTTGACCCTGTCCCTACTTTTTTGAGATGTGTTATTCAATTTCAAAATGACCTTATTTTTGTTTCCTAAAATGGCCCATTTTCTCAGTTTAAACATTGGATATGTTTTCTATTTTCTATTGTGAATGAAATATGGCTTTAGGAGATTGGCAAATCATGGCATTCTGTTTTTTATGTAGATTTTACACAGCGTCCCAACTTTTTTGGAATTGGTGTTGTATATTATATTTCTATGACATATACTACATTGCTGTACACTGATCCTTTCACACTGGACTCTGAACCAAAGGAGCTTACACTCTAATGTGCCCACCAATCACACACAATGATATGTCTGTATTACATTTTGTATGGCTCTGACATACCACAGTGGTGTACACTGATCCTTACACACTGGTCTCTGAACCAAAGGAGCTTACACTCTGTGCCCACCAATCACACACAATGATATATTTGTATTACATTTTGTATGGCTCTGACATACCACAGTGCTGTACACTGATCCTTACACACTGGTCTCTGAACCAAATGAGCTTACATTCTAATGTGCACACCAATCACACACAATTATATATTTGTATTACATATTTATGGCTCTTACATACCACAGTGATGTACACTGATCCTTACACACTGGTCTCTGAACCAAAGGAGCTTACACTCTAATGTGCCCACCAGTTACACACTATTATATATTTATGTGGCTCTGACATATACCACAGTGCTGTAGAGAGAACAGTAAGCCATTGACATGAGTCTACGCCAGAGCAGTTTCAATTCTAATGTCCCCACAGCCATCACTCTATCATTATAAATTTAAATAGCACTGACATATTCCACAGTGCTGTACACTGATTAGGGTTGCCACCTTTTCTTCAAGCGAAACCCGAACACACTCTAGCGACACGCTGAAATTTGTTTGGGAGAATGAGTCGTAGCTTATTCATATGTAAATATCACAGTTGAGACTATTTTTAGTGGGGGGACAGTAGCCCCTATTGTAATTTTGGTTGCCCCTGTCTGCCTGACATCTTGTGTTCGGGTTTCTGCTGTCATTAAACCCGGACAGCATTCAAAACCCGGACTGTCCGGGTGATTCCTGGACAGGTGGCAACCCTAACACTGATCCTTTCACACTGGTCTCTGAACAAAAGGAGCTTATAAGTCAATGTGCCCACCACAGTCTATTATTATACATTATTATAACTCTGACATATGCTGCATTTAGTCGCTGCACTAATGTGTACTTTAGACATTAGTCTACATAGGCCCAACTCTCTCCATTTGCCTTTTGATAATGATGGCGTTTTCTCTTTTAGTTTTTGCAGCGTGGTATTGATGAGGTTGAAAACTAGTAATTAAACAATGTGTAACCAAAAATTGATCCCCCCCACATACATTTAATTTACAGTGTGCACATTCTTGTGATCATGATAACAATTACAAAAAAAAGGGATAACCACAAATACAAAATAAAGTGATAGCCACAATCCTGTGTTAATATACAGTGATCATTCGTGAGACCACACACGATAACAGTCTTTATCATATCAAAAACGTGTGTCCAAATACACCTGCGTGTATATCCACAAAATGAGATCATGGGACCTTTCTATTGAACTGAATATGTAGTAGGTCTATGAGGAATGCAATATTGAGTCTAGCATATTCATGGTCTTATTTGGTTGCAATTAATATGTTATTTTTAACATGTCTTAATAAAAATATATCTTTTAATTATTGTGAATATCACATTGTAGTTTTTGCCATCTCTGAAAGCCCCATTTAATTTACTACTGTGATATATTCTATGATGTAGGGGTGAGCTGGTACGAGTCTTGGTGACCCCATACATTTTGCTCTATTTATACTGATACCATATCAATAGTTGACTTGACAGTACAGTACCATACACACTTTAAAAAAAAATCAGGCAGGGGATGTAATGCCTCACACTATTTTGGAAGTAGAATTTAAATTCCAACATTTGAAGGCCAACACAAGAAGATAATGCCATCAATACAGGTCTCTGAAAATGTATTTCCAGTATGGATGTTTGGACTATACCACTATAATGTCTGCATGGATTAGTCACTAAGCTTTCATAGGCTTTTTTCATTGAATGTGCTTCTAATGACAATTTGCTTACGTACGTGGGCAATGTCTGATAAACCTTTGATGTGGTAGATTGCACTCCAGTCAACACCCCTGGAACACGTTATGCACAATTTTCAGCTAGTGCATGCTGATGCCACGGGTCGGACCACAATGCAAGTGTTGAAGGGCATTTACATATTGCACCTACATGTGTAACCGTAGTGCAGTAGTGTGAAGAGACCCTTAGATGGCTTTATCCTTCTATAGAGAAAAGCTAATGAAGGCATTGAAAGAAAGAAAGAAAAAAAGGAGACCAAAGTGCCACAACCTAGCACAATAATTCAGGTGAAAATGGGACAAGGAGTATATGATGTTGAACTCACATGTGGGAGGGTGGACACACGCTTCAATAGCGGAACACTGTAGAAATCGTGGTGTTGTTGTATTGTTGAGCAAAAGGGCTGTATTGATCCTCTGGAGTGGTGACGTAAAAGACTGAGGTGGAAGACCTGCAGGTCACCACTCCAGAGTGTGCGCTTTGGTCTCCTTTTTGTTTCCTTAGCACACACGTCGGACACCCCGGTCTGTACTTACCAGGAGCTGCACACCAGCGAACGACACCAAGATCCCCCGGAGAGCGCTTAAAACATTGGACTTCCAACTGGAATTCATACCTTGATGAACCTGCTAAACTTCCCCATAACATTGTCCTGCTGTAAGTTTATGAATATTCACCCATTTGCTGTACTAGCATCACAAGAACACAAGTTTAGCCCTAATTCACACAAGCTATGGCTTGCATAAGAGCAGTGTAAACACAAAGCTTTTGTGAACCTTTCAGCAAGCTTCTAGCAACTTTGTTGAAGCTATTAATGCACCCTTCAGCTCCAGGTTGGGAATGTTAAATGCGGATCTTAATGGAAGAGCCGACTGTCACTTTAAACAAAGTTGCTAGCAGAATTTCACTAAGCTTCAAGTTGTGCTTAAGTCTGAGAGCAGTTTGTTTAAATGACAGTCAGCACTTCAATTAGGATCTGTGTATAATATTTCCAACCTGGAGCTGAAGGGTGCTTTAAAACCTTCAACACAGCTTGCCAAAAGCTCTGAAAATGTTTTGTAAAAGCTTGATGTTCACACTGCTATTATACAACTAAAGCCTGTGTGAACTAGGCCTTAGGATTGTTAAAATCCCCTACTTCTGTGCAGTGTGAAAGGCATGACTGCCTGTGACTGTCTCACAAGATTTTGAAGTGACACTACTGTGCTGTTTGCTGCTGATAAGTCTGAACTCTATGTATGTATGCATGCATCTCCCTGCTTCTGCCTCATTCATGCTATAGACCTGTGCTTCATACACATTGTCTGCTGCTTTGTGAATACCCACAAACTTTATGAGAACATCAGTCATCAGGAGGGCAGCTCTAACATGAGGAAGCAAAGCCCGGCCTGAACTAAGAGAGCCCTCACCACACAGAGACACAGTGCAGAACAAGGTATGATAAAGTTGGGTATAAAAGTGTATCTTTTTCGTTCAAACCGCAGATTTCACCATCAACGCCTACAAATGTTGGATGAATTGCCCACAGTCTGCATCATAGTCTAAAAGGGGCCGCTGGCTGCAATCAGAATACCCTAACGGTGCTAGCAGCTGATTGGCTGCCAGCTCTGTCCAGCCAAGAATTTTCCACCTTGCTCCTTTGATCAGTTGATCGACAGATGTCAGGTGGGTGAGGACAGGAACTAGCCGAAATCCGTACATGTGTACCCTACCTAAAGTAATTCCAAACTCAATAGTCAAACCTTAAAAACACATTCACGTACTTTAAAATATTAAAAAGTCAAAAGGATTTTAAGCCATTTCAAATGCTGATGAAATCACACAATAGATGCTGCTCCTTAATGTCTAAACGTTTTAGTTTCCTGCAGAATCAGCTGCTTCCCTGAGCACTGGTCATGATATCCTGTTTTAGAGTGACTCCTTTCTCAAGCAGAGTGCTATGCAGTCACCCTCGTGTCTGCTAGTAAGCCGCGTGTCTCCAAACAGCAGCAAATCAAGCTACTCCCCTCCCCCTTCTACAAGCTAGTAGATGAACAGTAGCTAGAGTCTGCTCTGTCCTTTGCGATCTTGTAATGGACAGGGAGTTCAGAGAAGCCAAGTTGAGGGACTTGGAAGCAGCAGTTCAGAAACATAAGTAAGCTGGGTAATGTACACTGAGTGGCCAGATTATTATGACCACCTGACGTTTGTAGGCAAACTCGCTATAATTTTGTGCTGAAGTTGCTAGAGGGCCAGACCATTATAAATAGGGAAGCAGGTTGGTGACCACGACAGCAGGTGATTTTTTTCCTGAAGATATGGGTAAACAACGCGATTTAACAGCCTTTGAACGTGGGATGATTGTTGGCGCTCGGAGCCATGGAGCGAGTATCAGCAAAATTCGTTAAATGTTCAAGAGCAGCTGTTGTTAAAGTGTTTAAAGACTGGACTGTCAGCCGGAAATCTGGGTCTGAAACGTGCGAATTGTGGCCGTCAGCAACTAGTTAATGTTAGGGCAGAACGGAGAGTGGCAAGATTGGTACAAGACAAACAGAACCACTCATTGTATATTTGTTTTATCTGGAATCATTATTAAAAGAAAGTTTGAGAGTTTTGATACTACTTTAACAATTACCAAAAATATCTTCAAATCATTTGTGTTGATACTGTCCTTCCTTCCAGAGAGTGGCTACTTCTTTTCCCCAGTTTCATTGTGCGTTGTAAAGTGGCAACTCCAAGCTCCCTTCCCTTGCCCCATTTTGTCTTTTTTGGGCACAACTTCCACAGCTGAGGTGTTCTTTAAAAGCAGGATCTACACTGGATATTGCCAGGTGATCTGGCATAACTTGAGGGGGGCCCTTCACTTTCTTTGAGCTGGGTGTTCCTGTATTGGTAAAAGGCAACTTTTTGACCGTTCACTAACAAAGAAACGACTAGACTCCACACAACCAAATCAATAATGGAACATGTTTTCCATTGATCGCTTTTATCTAAACCCAACCCTAACAAAAATTAAAAATAAGCAGCAGGTGAAGTAAAATAGTAGAAATTTTACTATTATAGAATTTCAGATACATGTGAAGGCCAACAGTAGAGGAAAATGCCATCAAGACAGGTCTGTAAATGTAAGTTACGCCATAATGTGTATACTGATCAGTCACTTTCTATATTTTTTCATTCATTGTGTTTCTGATGACAATTTGCTTTCATACAATTGGAAATGTCTAAACTTATTTCTAATAATTCATTTGGTATGGTAGATTACATTCATTCACATATCCAAAAGACGCAATTAAAATCATCAAGCCTGGCTTAAGTCACAACCACATCCCAGGGACTTTATTGCACAGAATGGGAATGAGCCCAATATTTTGACTTTACCTATATATTTGCTGATAAAAACAGGTCTTTAACTTGCACATATATACAAATCCTAATGAAACTTAGGTTTGTGGGTTTTTTTTTTTACAGTGATTTGGTAAATCTGCTTTTCTCATCAGTATTTAAAAAATACACCGTGTGCTCTGTGCGTTTCTAGCTGAAGGGTATCACAAAAATGAAACACTGCTTGATATTATGTCCGAAATTTCTTCTTTTTACGGTTCTTTTTGCCTTCGGCTCGGGCAGCCTTTTCTGCCATGATTTCCTGGTACTTCTTTTTATTATATCTGGAAAGGAAAATGTTTCATGTTAAAAAAGATAAACACTAGCAGTATGGTGTTAAAAGAAAACAAATATATTGCATGTGCAAAACAAATTCTACCAAAAACAGTTGACTGATGGTTGATCTATATAGCTGGTGCACTCCACAGATGTGATATCCCCACCAGAGTTCACACTAACTGTCATGGCCAATAAAAAAAAAGCAACTGCACTGTACATCTTCAGTTATGACTAAATAAAAAGCAAAAGCACTTGCTGAGCTATTTGTGGTGTGTGGATGACATAACTTGTATTTGTGAACAGTTTGATCACTGAATGGAGCATGGCTGCAGATTGTCACAACTTTTATGCTGGTCTACAGTCAATAACATTTATTGAAGTTTTACCTTCTGAACTCAGAATCCGCGAGAAGTTCCTCCACAATGGTCCTCTTTCGGTGTTTCTTGGGAATTCGGGAATGGTAATAGTCTAAGGGATTGTCTACCACAGTTGCAACCTAGAAAAGAAACCATAACCATTATTCTACACAGCTCAAAGAATAACATACTGTACAAACCCGCATCCACTAGCAATGTACCATCCAGCACCAGTCTAAATTGTTTTCCGTTTTGGGTTTCTAAATACACAAGATGATTTTGTCCCGGGTACCAAGCCTTGTAGCAGTACCTGGAAATATTTGGGGAAGCCCTCTCTGTCGTCCTTTTTGTAAAAGTGTTTGGGGTCCATGGCTGATCTCATTTTCAAAGCTTTTAGATCATTCTTTAATTCTTCAGTCATTTCTGGAGCCTTCATGTCAAACCAGCCTCGTCCAGTTGTTTTCTCACGTTCTTCCTGCAAATCAAACAAATTAATTGAAGACCATAGCAGTCTCATTCACACCAATGTAAAACACAGGCAGGTTAGCCAATTAAAGCAAGCGGAACTTTCAAGTGTAATCTACTGAAATGTATAAAATTATACTTCCACTTGCCTTTCTCTGTTTCTTCAACTTGTGCAGTGACACTCTATATGGTGGGACAGAATCTTTCTTCTCAAAGTCAGGGGTTATGACACTTTTCTTTAGGAGCTGAAATTGAACCAAAACATATACAATACTTTAGGGTGAAGAGTTTGAAGAAGGCAGGAGAAGGGAACAATCTATTATCAAATTCAGCTCACTTTTCAGTTCAGCTATGTTTTCCTAGATTGTTCACTTCCCCTTTCAGTGAATAGCCCTGCTAGTACATAATTCTTTGAAACTGAGACATACAGCATCCGTTTTGAAAAAAAGAATGTAGTTGAAAAAATGCATGTTAAATGGCAATGTAAAATGTTTTTTTTTTTTTAGCTTTAAGCTAAATTTGATAGAACCACGGGCATCTAAAAAAATAACACTTGCCGTGGGGCTACCCATGTACTGCAAGAGTTAAGTGCTCGTTTTGGTCTAGGGTCTAAGATAAAAAAGATAATATACTCACCCAATCCATGGCCCCACCTGGTTGCTAGACCGGTTCCTGCAGCCTTATCTTCCTTGGGCTCCGGCAATCTAAGCCCCGCTGACGTAATCATATCTATGCAAAGTCCATTCACTTGCATTAGACATGAGCACGCTTAGGGGTATACCACAGCCAGAGCAAAGGGGACAACAGGTGAGCGGTCACCGTTGCAAGACCAAGAATCAGTTGAGTGTATTGTCTCTATTTTAGATGCTAGACCAAAACGAGCAATGCAGAGGTTAAATATTTGAGATGCCTCAAGTTGTTCTAACTTTTACAGCATCACCTCAACCAATTTGTTGAGAAAAGGCAGTGCATTATCTCCCTCTTTCAAATAATATGTCAAATTAAAAAAATGAATTGATAAACCTTTTTTTTTTTTAAATGTGTACATTTGTGTTTCAGTACAAATTCACTGTTGCCAGGGTTGAATTCTGAAAGTCCAAATCTAGTGTTGATTGCAGGAGAGAACTTGCACTTCTTTTACAACTTCAGTTAGTTTGGAGCAGCTGATCCCTACAGCTGGATGCAGAAATCCCAAACAAAATCCCATTCTAGGATTGTTACAGTAATGGGACAATAGTTGCAGCAAGCTGCCAGCCAAAGAGTAAATCTACACGCCGTCAATATGAAACATGGCTTGTACCATCAGCAGTTCCGTCTACTGTTCTTAAACCTTTTGTGACCCGAGGTCATAGATGCCTAGATACCCAGGACAAATCTAGCAGAGTCATCATACTATATGTTGCTTATTTAACATAATGCATACATAAATCATTTTGATACACATGCTTCCTGTCTGTTTTTATGTTAGGCTGACAAATGTACAAACATGTAAAAAGAAAACACCTTACCTCATCTTTCTTTTTACTATCTTTTTTCATTTTGTTGATCAAGCTTGGACCAGGATTTGGCTTTTCTGCATCAAAATTGATATATAAGCCACCCAATTGCTTAATATTCAGTCCTGTGTCAATTCTTGATGACAAATCACTGGGGAAAAATAAATAACATGCTGAAAAGGAATGCCCCATCTGTGATCAATGGCAATGAACATTACATATTATTCACAAATAAATTCTTGTTTATGGTAAGGTATGGCAATTAGTGCAAATGGACTGCATACTTTATATTCCCCCCACCATACTTCTTGTTCCAAAAAACAGATCTGTGGTCTTGTGCAAAGGACTTACTATAAAGTGACCCCTTCAGCGCAATGCACACCCAGTAAAAAAGGAGGCAAAATACTTACTTTTCCGGCTGCCCATGTGTAGAAATGCTAATGCTTTGTTTCTCCCTGGCCATTGCAGGTAGTTAAAACGTCAGGTAGTCTGAATTCCTGCTACTTCTGCCACATACTGTGGTTCCACCTGCCAGCTTGTATGTCCTGTAGTGATGCACAAGCTGGCGAGAGGAACACAGCAAGCATGAGGGAGTAGGGGGACCTGTAAGTATAGAATACCTGCTCCCTGCCACTAAAGCTTACATAGCAAGTGTATAGAAATCATGCCATTGTAAAGAAATCGTTAAGGTCAATTTACAGCAGTGTGTCACTGGCCCCTATAAAACTCCACTGGTTCGTTTTTTTTACTTTAAAGAAATACAAAATTCTAATATTCTTTGTTAAACTGAAAGACTTACAAGCCTGCTTTAGGTTTGTTTAACAATTCGTCTTCTTCATTATCGTCATCATCCACCTCTTCGTCAATAAAATGTTCTTCTTCATCTGGCTCAGGCAGCTCGTCCTCCGGTTCAGATAGTTCCTCCTTCTCACTTTGATCTCTCTCAGATTCCCTGTCATCTACATCATGATCTACATAATATTTTTTACTCGAGTCCAAACCCGGAGCTGTATCAATAACAAAAAGTCCATTGCCTTGCAGATCTTTTGATTGCTCAGTTGAAGTTGGTTTGAGATGTTTCTTTTTCTCAAGGCCTTCATGGTTCTTTTCCTCTTCCAGTTCTTTCTGGTTCACCGCCTGCTCCATTTCTACATCAGCTTCTTCCTCCTCGCTGTGTTCCGAGTCTTCACTTTCATCACTATCTAGCATTAAAGATATTTCCACTCTTTCAGTGATATTGGAGGCATCACTTTTTCCACTTTGGGATGCTTTGGCATTTGGAAAATCTTTGTTTGTAATGTCAGCTGTCTCACTGACATTGTCATCGTCGTTGTCATCATCATTATCAGCTTTGCTTTGATCTTGCTCTTTGAGTTGTGGTTCAGCCATCGAATCTTCAGTGAGGTCAATCATTTCATCTGGTGCATCATTCATTGTTGACTGGGATGTTGCAGGTAATTTTGTGGTCACAATCGAACTGGGTTCTACAGACAAGCTATGTTTTTCTTTGACAGACTCTTGGTCAGCTGGTTGATCCACCTGTTCATGTTTGCTTGAGAATGTTTTACTCTGAGAGTCACTGTCTGAAAGTACTATAATATCGCTGCATTCTTCAATTACAAACCGATTTCTCAAACTCCTACGGGGAGTGGACAACATTTTCTCCTTTTGCACAGAGGACAAAGGCTCTAGAACTTTTACTCCACGTAAACTATGCCTTTGTTTTTTCGGTGACTCTTGCTCTTGACTGCTAGCTTCACTGACACTCTTAGCCGCATCTGCCTTTGGTTTACTCTGAATTTGCCTACTAGAACGTCTGGTCCTCGGTTGAGAAACAAAGTCAGAATTGCAAGACTCTGCCTCTGATATTTCATCCTTCTGAGATTCACGATTAACAGAGAGTGGACGGGTTGCTTCAGATGTTCTTCTAGATCTTACTGCAGTATTTTGCAACCCTGAAACAGAAGAACAATTTGATTCAGCCTCAGAATGATCAGAGACTGTTTCAGAAGGCAAAGCAGACTTCCTACTTCTTGCTCTGGTTAAGAGTGAGGCGCTTGCACGTATCCTCTTGCTAGCCCTGCTAGCACGTGTAGAAACAGAGGAACAGTTTGACTCAGCTTCGGATAGCTCATCTTCTTTAGACTCCAAGATAGGCTCAGTTATAAAAGCAGATCGTTGGCTTCTCAGTTTCCTTGCTGAGTCGGTTACGTTCCCGAGACTTTGTCTACTTCGTGTAACTCTTGTGGAAGAATTTGATGTAGTAGATTCTGCTTCTGAGACATCTGCATCTGACTGACCACTCTTATGCCTACTGCGAGTGACCACCTGTGATGGCCCCTTTGTAGAATCATTTTTGGTGGGGCTGCCAACTGTTGATGTAGAGTCACCCTGATCTTGACTATTCCCACCGCTTTTCTGTGCAACAGTGTCACTCTTAACTGGTCTTTGTGCCCGCTTTGGAGAAGCTGGTGTAGCAGGTTCCACTGCAGTCTACAAAACAAAAAAAATATATTAGTTTACATATATGGAAATGCTACTGAGGGAAAAAAAGTAAACACATGATTATTCCAGATATTTTTGCGGTTTGTTTTCCAAACAGTTTTAAAAGGTATCAAAATAGGCCAAGTGAAAACTAAATACAGCTGTATTTACATTAGAATGGTGCACAAATTACAGCTCAATATAAAAGCAGCTGAAAAGATAACCGATGCTGCTATATCAATATTTACAGTTCCACCCCATTTCTATCATTACTAATAAAAACGGAGCACAGACACCTCTTTCTAATGCTGCTCACGCTAAAAATAAAGTGCAACTGAAGCCAACGCTTTTGTTTCCAGTTTTGGATGGAGTGGAGAGGAATTACAACACCTGTCAATGTCCCCATTAGGGAGATTCAACCTCTCTATTTGTCCCGGTGATCACTGAAAGAGAAAGAAACCCGCAAATGTTGTGTTGTCATCAGAAAACGTCTGAAAATGGTAATTATGTTTTTTTAGACAACCGAACCACTGAAAAGCTACTATTCAACTGACATTTAGTACACATTGCATGGAAGTGAAGCCATGGTAAGCAGTTAAGTGGTCTCATGCACTCAGGTTTAAAGCGGAACAACCTCCTATGCCTTACAACCAAGGAAGGTACTTAGCCTGTATGTGGATTGTTGCACAAGTGGTCAACTATGACACCAACCATTTGAGGGTTTGAAAGTCCAGTTGAGAGCTGAAATAAGCACCTTGACATTTGGCAAGCCTTAAAAGTACAATAAACTCCCAGCAATCCAGCACCCACGGGGATCGGTAGATGCCGGATAACTGTAGTTTCTGGTTGCTTGAGAGTTAACAGCAACTCTCAAGCAATCCCCCCTGCAGCTGAGAAAGTTCTCTCTCAGGTCCGCTCCTCTGCTTAGCGGGCAGGTACAATAGCCACCTTGCTGGCTATTGCTAACCGTTGTTTACAATCTGCTGCCGACTGTGGAAACTAGCCACCGGCTGGCAGCAAGAATTGAATAAAGAATTTAATTAGCAACTAAATAAATGTAGTTGCTAACAAATATTTTTCAGTGTACATCAAGCCACTGGCAAAAAGAAAAAAAAATCGGACATATGTCCTTGATTTTTTGGTGGTGGTTGCTTGAGAGTGCCAGTTGCTTACATTTCCGGATAATAAGGGGTTAACCGTTTTGGGGGAGCTCTCCTCACAGCTGGGCACTGACTGCAAGGCCTGGTTCACACCTGAACGTTTTGTAGCACGTTCAACGCTCGACGAACGCTCTACAAAACATCTAAATCCCATTGTATTCAATGGGTCTGGTTCACACCTTGCCGTATTTCCACCCGTCCGAACGCGATACAAAACGGCCTAAGCCCAAAGAAGTACATGTACTTCTTTGGGGCGTTTTGGTCTCGCGTTTCCATTGGGATACAGCCAAGTAGCCCACGGAAACGCGCGTTTTTTTACCGCGATTCGCGGTAAAAACGTGCAACGCGAACCACGCATATTCAATACGCCTAGGTGTGAACCCAGCCCAAGGGTCTGTTTTCCCTTCGATGCCACATCCTCCGATTGCAGAGCAACTAATCAATAATGAGAATCGCTGACGATTCTCATTATCGATCAGTTTCAGCCCTAGGGCAAAACCAGCCTAAAGCCACATCACATATGGTTAAAACTTATGTGGTTTGACTCCTATCTTAGGGAACGAGACCCAAAATCAGAACCTGGCCCGTCCTTCAATCTACCGATGCATGGCCAGCTTAATGTTAACGATGCTGCAGAGGTGAGTTAGGGAAGCTGGATCAAGTCTACCATTTCCTGATGCAGGGAACTCCCCTTACTTTGTGAAATTTCCCTCAAGCTTCCTGTTGCATCTTTGGGACAAGTGAAGATACATTTTCCCAGCGGTACGCAGACTGCTAACATTAACCTGGCGGGAGGAGTTTTATAAGCAAAGGGGAGTTTATCCAGAGGAGCAGAAAAAACACTCTATCCAACACTGCAAAAGGTCTGAGCATGATGGGAGGTAGATCAGTTTTTGTGGCGCACAGCCGCACACTGGCCATAGAAACTTATAGATATCTATCTAATAACCACAGACATGTTACGATCTCACAGTGTACTGATCACATTCTTTTTCGTAACACTACCTGATCTCCGCCGCTCCCTACCGCCTCCTCCTGTGACTCTACCCTCGTGCCCCTTCTGGTAGCCACCATCTTGCCTGCATGCAGTCAGGGCGCGCATGCGCACAATCCACGCTCTACTGGGTGCACCGAGAAACCGCTCCCTGCGGAAACTTGAACCGTTGCAAGCGTTCCGCTGTTACTCTCCCCCGTCTCCAGAAAATGCGTTATGGGATTTAGAAATAAGCAGTTTATAGAGCAGACCGCACACTGCCCAACAGAAACGAATGTATACAACCTAAAAGTAGCAGTGAGTTTAAAACAAGGAATGCTGTAACAACTAGTCAGAGCACATGAGGAAGTGACGGTCGACGTTTCCGGCATGCTTTGCGGATGAGCGGGACTGGAGGATCGTTTAGTAGTTATGGTATCCCTGCTGTCTAGAGGTGTCGGCGTCGTTGTCAAGTCGCTGGCCGGGCTCAGCTTTACACAGGCTGCAAGGTGTCACCTGTAGAGAGAGATAAAGACTAATCGGGCATGGGAAATTCAAGCCCTAGCTGCTGTGCTGTATTACTAGCGAGACCTGTGGAACTGCAAATCCCAGCATTCCCTGCGAGGACACAGGTGTCACACACCATGTGCCTTCCAGCCATGCTGGGTCTCAGTGCTGTTAGAATCCGATGTGCAAGCTTGGCAGAAAATTAGTTTATTGATTCCCTTCCACTCTCTGCAGCAGATACATAGAATCCCTGCTCCCTTCTGGAACCGAATCCCTCTGGCCTCCTCTGCCCTTTCCTGGGATGACCTCGTCCAATGTCCGTCTTCTGGAACTTAGTTCCTCTGTCCTTCCCCACTGCTCCTCTTCCCAGATAGCAAGTAATTGAGCTGCACGTTTGAAAATGACTTAATAAAGTATGGCCGACTTGGCAAGCTTCACAATTTTGTTGCACAATTACAGCAAGTCTGCATTGCAAGTCTCCAGGTCAACGTGCTTTGCAAAAGTGCTGTACACTCGCAGAGCTCTTGCTAAGACCTGCAGGACTCTTGCTGTAGACTTGCCAAGCAAATTTGCTACAAATGTAAAAAGTGTCAACTAGAACATGTGCTGCAAGTGATCTGTAAGTCTACAACTTGCCAGGAATGTGTGTAGCAAGTTAACATGAATTAAGTTTGTGGCAAGTTATCCTTGCTATCTGGGTTTTAGAACTGAATCCCTCTGTACTTCTCCACTGTTCCTCTTCTAGAACTGAATCCCTCTGTCCTTCTCCACTTTTCCTCTTCTAGAACTGAATCCCTCTGTCCTTCTCCACTGTTCCTCTTCTAGAACTGAATCCCTCAGTCCTTCTCCACTTTTCCTCTTCTAGAACTGAATCCCTCTGTCCTCCACTGTTCCTCTTATAGAACTGAATCTCTGTTCCTCTTATAGAACTGAATCTCTGTCCTTCTCCACGGTTCCTCTTCTAGAACTGAATCCCTCTGTCCTTCTCCACTGTTCCTCTTCTAGAACTGAATCCCTCTGTCCTTCACTGTTCCTCTTCTAGAACTGAATCCCTCTGTCCTTCTCCACTGTTCCTCTTAGAGAACTGAATCTCTGTTCCTCTTATAGAACTGAATCTCTGTGAATCTCTGTTCCTCTTATAGAACTGAATCTCTGTCCTCCACGGTTCCTCTTCTAGAACTGAATCTCTGTCCTTCTCCACTATTCCTCTTCTAGAACTGAATCCCTCTGTCCTTCTCCACTGTTCCTCTTCTAGAACTGAATCCCTCTGTCCTTCTCCACTGTTCCTCTTTTAGAACCGAATACCTCCTGCTCCTCTTCTGTCCTAGAACAAAATCCCTCTCTCCTCCTCCGCAGTCTCTTTACCGATCCTCCTGTCCTCCCCAAGCTTTTCCTCTTCTGGAACCGAATCCTCCTGTCTCTCTCCACACTTCGTCTTCTGAAACTGAATCTCCTGTCCCTCTCCACAGTCCCTCTTCTGGAACAGGTTTCAGACCTCTAGAAACACGTGTGCTACCTGACAATCAAGTATCAGATCACACGCATTTTTTTTATGCATTCTCTAAATCAGTGGTTCTCAACCTGTGTAACCTCAGGGCCCACATTTGTCCTTGGTCATTAAGATGCGCCCCAAGCTCGTTCTGGTGCGGGCAATTGAACTGTGGGCGGGAGGTGCGTTTGGGGTGGCATTCAAATGAATGGCAACGCAACACACCTCCCACACCATAGCGCATAGTAGGTGCAATTTAATGGTACAGTGCATCAATGGCACAGGACTGTTCGATTAACGCACTGTACTAGTGTGAACGGGCCCTCAAAAGCAATGACGGATGCACACAACCTCACACACATATACATTCCCTTTTTTAAGATCCACCCAGTCTCTCTACCTTACGAGAACTGGAGTGGATCCTCAGCCTTGGGGTCCAGTGTGTGATGCTGTGCTGTGACAGAGCTCCATCCATATGTGCATTGCTCCCTTGCGAGCCCTGTAGAGATGTCGGGAGCCCGAATGTGACGTCACTCCGATCCAGGCACCTCTACAGGACATGCGAGGGAGCTGTAAACCATGCACGTATGGATGGAGCTTCCTCACGGTCATAGCTCCAGGCCACCCCACCTTAACCTGACACTCAGTGCCGAGCAGCATATGAATGGCTGCTTGGTGCGAGAACTGACAGTGCTGCGCTGGGGGGAGGCTGAGAAGCTTCTCATCTAGAAAAGTGGAAGGCACGCGGCGACCCACTGAACACAGGGTCGGAACCCACTTTTGGGTCACGACCCACCACTTGAGAACCAAGGCTCTAAATGATTTGGTTTATTTTCACATACAGGTATAAATAACATTTGATGGTAGAAAAAGCTTCAGTAGGCTCAGCCAATTATTTTTGCACACAATTTATTCATAATCCACCACATTGGAGTTTTGTCCTTTGAGATAAAAGGTGTATTGTCTTTGCTGTGTCTAGAGGTTGGTAGGCATGTAAATCACAGTATAAGAACACACTTTTATTGTAGGTTCAGGATGATAAAGTCAACAGACAGCTAATACATTTGCCTCGTCGTTCTCTGAGGATGAATGGAACATGCCAGTTGTTGGTTGATTTTACCATCCTCGATCTACAACCACAATGAGGTTTTATATAAGTAGCCCCATCTGTGGTGCTGGAGAATACATTCTGTGCCTGGTGAAACAGAGCAAGAATCATGTCTTTATGGATACAGTCAGGCATGGATTAGCTGACATCTTTTTATGTTTTGGGGGCAGCAGGGAATGAATGGACAGATTACTTATTTCTACAATTGTTCTTACAATATTTGGCAAATTTAAGAAACTGCAAGAGAACAAAACCTTGGAGACGTTTTGGCACTTATTAGCAGTACCTTGGAAGAAATCACAGCTCCTGAACATTCCTTGCAGCCAGCTGTATTTCTATTCTTGCTTTAGGGTATTTTTCTAATTAAATGGGTAATTTGAACAGAGGTGCCCCAACCTTTGCATATTGACCTTTGTATAGTCACAGAGGTCTACCATATCCCTTCCGATGGCTATTGTTTAATCTTAATGAATGAAATAGTTTCCATGAAATCATTTACACATAAAAGTTTCAAGTTAAACGGAAGATATTTAAAATAAATGTACTGTAGGTGTGCAGAGGCTTCCACCACACAGCTGATTTCTTGTCCAATAATCCCATGTAAGCAAACGGAGTGGCCATTTTGTTTCCTCCTTTGTCTACACTTGCAGCTTAATGTCAGATAGAGATATATCATTTTTAAGGTATGGGTTTGCATATATAATTACATTCACTCAGACTTTTCTGAAGGAGAGGCAGCTTGATTTGTGCCTAATATATCACTACTTTATTGAAAAATGTCTCCCAATGAGTGAGCACATCATCTGTATTAAACACCAATATTCTTTGAAAAGTCTGTGATTACAAAACTGTTTTTCCTCAGACTGGTTAATATGTAGTCAGTCTCAGTCATAACAGTCTTTCTCATCACCAGTATGATAAGTTATATAATTATTTAAATCAGAGGTACAATTGTGACTGTGTTCTCATTTCCTTCTAGATGCAGCAGCCTTCCCAGTGCTTTATCGGCTATTCGGTGTTCAACAGCAAGATGGTTCTCGGAAAATATAACTTCATATGATTTCCCAAAAGCTCCTTCCCCAGGGGACCCCCCAAAACGTCCCCTGCCAGCGTATTTTCGCTTTTTTAAGCAGCACCGACCACTAATCGCTAAGCAGCACCCGGGTAAGTTCTTGGATGAGGGTTTAACAGACTTAGCTAATCTTTGTAATTCACTTGATGCACACTTGACATACTGTATATACAAGTTCATCAGCGGTATTCAATAAGACTTCCTTCTGGTCACCCAGAATTCATCTTTCACAAATTTGACTCCAGTAAACTGGTAATCTGGTTGCTACGAGTTTTTGCAGTTTACCAATGCACTTTGAAATACCTTAGCACACTGTCCCTGCCTGCAGCCAGTGTGCGAGAGTACTGCATCAAAATATGATACAGACTCTCATAAAATGGCTGAATGAGATAGTTGATATTTTTTCCTTCATTAGTTCAATTAATCGCTAGCTGAACTATTAATCAGAGTCTGCAATCACAAACTACAGCCATTTCATCAGTGAATCTTAACTGGATGCAGCACTCAAAGCTAGAAATAGCACAGAGGTTCTCGCTTGGCTCAAATGCCAGATGGAGCCTCATAGATATCTGACAATATTCATGAACATGATCCCACCTAACTAAAGATTGTAACTGATATTATCTAATTAGAGAACATCCTGCCCTCCTGTGATTGGAAGTTCTACTAAGATACCCCCTTCTTAATGACTGCTGAGAACTGATATACTCATATCCAGGAGTTCTCAGCACTCATTAGCCCTCATTCACACAAGAAATGGCCGGCCTGTACAGATCCGTGCTGCGTGCACGGCCGTATCGGGCCGCTCCCGGGAAGGACAGGTGCAGCGTGTGATTACACGCAGCAGCCTGTCCTTCTCTATGGTCTCTACGCCTTCTCTACGCCTCCCTACGCTCACTCGAACTGCACGTCCGTGCAGGTACTCGTACGCTGACAGGATGGATCCTATCTGCGCCCAAGCAAGGACACCCGCACACAGCACGGATCTGTACGGGCCGGCCGTTACCCGCGTGAATGAGGGCTAAGGGGGTATCTTAGTAGGACTTCCAATCACAGGAGGGCAGGATGTTCTCTAATTTGATAATATCAGTTACTATCTTTAGTTAGGTGGAATCATGTTCATGAATATTGCCAGATATCTATGATATATGAATTATACACTTCTACTTTGCTAATACCGTGGCTGGTACAAAAGGTGTTTTTAGGATGTTTTAAATGTGTGTCTATGCATCTTTTTTGATCCATTATTAATTTTTTTTTTTTATATTGTTTGAGAATTATAATACATTTATACCATTTTTCAAATTGTTATTCTGATGTTTACTATCCTTTTTGGATCTCTATTCGGGGATATATTGTTTGTGAGAAGTAAAGAACATGCGTTATTTTTTTTATTTTTTGGGGGGAACACCATTCAGGATGGGATAAATTACATCAGCCTTCTCAACACAGCAGTAGCAGCTTCTTGCTGCATTACTTATTACTAGGGATGCACAGATACCAGTTCAGATACCAGTGCTGATACTTGCCGTTTTCACGAGAACTACCAGGGTTGCAGAGGTTGCAGCTGGGACCTGGCTTTGGCGCTCCACCACTGTCCTGAAATCATTAGTCTCTATTGTTTTAGAAAAACTGTGACACGATAATAAACAAAATGGTATCAGTACTTGTATCTGTGAGGACAAGCATTGGACTGGAAAAATGGTATTGATGCATCCTTAATAAATATATTATTTTTCCCATTGTATAGTTATTGAAGAATAGATGGCTGCTGAAGGTTTTCGCTCCTATTCTACTTCTAAAGGAATTTGGTACCACAATTGGTATTTAAATTCACACTAAAATTACTTCTTTGTGTATGATGAAGTGCTTTCTTAAGAGTTGTTTATATTTATTTTTGTAAATATGTGGTGTTTTAAGCTTGTTGATTGATTTTTGTTTTTTTTTATTTATTTATAGGGGCGTCTTTCAAAGATATTTCTACGTTCACAGCCGATAAATGGAGAGCACTTTCAGATCCTGAAAAACAAGTAAGCTTTGTACTTAACTAAGTCTATTAAATAATAGAAATGTGTGAAATAAATTTTGTTAAAAATGGTAAAACAGCAAAGGTTCTCGGCCAACAATATTTTTCCTGACCGTCACATGGAACCTCGGACAAGCTGTCAACACTGGCACTTATATCTTTACTGACTGGTGAAAACAATAGAAAAAGAGAAACATTTTTAAGCCAGCCAATCAAGCTTTTATTCAGTATTGGTGCCCTGGCCGTGTTCTGTAGATTTACGATCATACTCGTGTTATGTTTTGTTTTGTTTTTTAAGAAAATAACATTTTATGGTGTAGATTATGCACTGGGTGTAGATTTCAAAAATATGTACCTGTTGGTATCATTTACCTCAAAGACACCTGTAGAAAGAAGTGCCAGTCTCCCATCTCTCTCTTTCTGAAATATGGAGAACATAGGTGTCAAAAGCACACCCTGATTATTTTACTCATTTCAACAGAAATTCTATTCTCCTGTTCTTTTTTACCTTAGGGCACCAGCTCATGTGTATTTGTAGCAGGCTCTTGGACAGCTCTGTCATGGAATACGTCTCTCTGAGGAACGCAAATGTTATTACGGATTGAGACCTTTATTGGCTTGGCAAACATCTCAAGTCCAAGAGTCTTTTCAATGTGTTGCTGCGTAGTTGCTTAGCAGTACTTAGGTTCAAGCTGATTCACACTTCTTTGTTTTCACAAGCTGACATTGATTGGCCTAAACGAAATATTCTGGCATGTGCACCCCAGGAAGACTATTTTGCCTGAATAGATTTTTTTGGACATTGTGAGCTCTGTGGTCTGCCTAGCCTAAAGCTAGCCATGCACTGCTCAAACTTTTGGCTTCTCCTGACTCAGTTGAATTCGAACAGTATGGCCCTTTGGGCACCTCTCTGTTTGACCAAAGTAAATATTTTTTGTTAAAGGAACTGGGACGAAAATTGTCAGCCAAACAGTGGCTGCATCCAATCAGCTCCAGTCATTGTTTGGGTATTCTGATGGCTGCACACCCACCACTGTCAGAATACAATAGCATAGTGGAAAGGATTCCCCCATCTGTGCTGTGCTATTCATGAGTTTTTTCTCCTTTGGCCTACGGGGCTGAACGCGAAAAAAGGACTTGTGTGTGGCCAGCCTAAGGCAAACTGGTTTTAAATTCACTGTTGTCTGCACACATCCAGCACTTGGTCACTTGTACTCTTCCGTGGTGTCAGTACATATACATTATTATTTCTTTGGCGAAAGGTGTTTATTTAGGTATGAGCCGGTGTGTCCTTTATGCTAGAGCTGCTTGTTAGTCCAAGTCTGGCTCTGGATGATAATGTCCCATGAATAACAGCAGGCTAATGGCAGGGTGCATCTCCTGGGTTCTGCAGAGACTTGCTTCACACTTCATGTGATACAGTACAGAGCATTTGCAGTGCTTGTATGATATGTCTATGGTTAGACAAGGATAACTACTATGATTTTCCTATTTCCAGGTATATTTAGATGCTGCAAGACTTGATTTAATGCAGTACAGAGACACTGTACAAAAATACAAAGACAGTCTCAACCCTCTGGACTTGGAAATGCTGAAAGAGAAAAAAAAGCAGAAGATGGAGAAACTAAAAAAGATACAGCAGAAAAGGGTAAGGGGTGAAAAAAAGATGGCACCAAGTCAGTAGCAAGTATAAGCCTATCAAACCCTAAAGTGAACCTATGATTTGCCTGGCAGGGTATTGCAGCAGGTTCAGTTAACTGTCAGCCTCCCTCACTGCACATACTTCCCTTGGCTACTTTGCTGCACTATTCTGCCGCTGGGGGCAAAGAGCAGGCTCTGTAGGAGCTTCCATTCATTTGAAAATGACACTGAGGACTCGTAGGAGAAAAAGGTGTGGCTGTCCATACCCAAAAGTATTGCATGTTATTTTGTCACTTCCAGTGGCCTAATTTTAGAACTAGGGAAGGGAGGATGGTATATGCAACTGGGGAGGGGTCAGTTTAGCAAACCTGTTGCTTTACCCAGCCACACTAATGTGCATTGAAAGTGCCTTTTTTGTGGTTTATTGGGTTTGTTCATTTTAATGTACACATCATCAAAAAAGAATTTATGCTAAAGCATGCTTTTTTTATCAGTAGTATGACCAGGCCTTAACTTGCAAAAACCTGTAAGAGCATATTGATAAACAGAATTTTTTGCTTTCCTGTCAAATCCTTTTCTTGAAGTATAGTACAGCAATGCTGAATCAGAGTAACCCCTTTTCCCACTGTCCATTTGTGTTTAGAGCCCACCATGTCATGTGAGAGGCCCCATGGGTACTCACGGTTGGTAGGTCCACCTCTGGTCCATAGACCAGCCCCCTTCTGCTGCCTATTGTCCAGAACACCTTCTTTCTCTGTCCTTCCACACTGACCACTTCAGCAGGAGAACATTTCCCCTGGCCAGCCAAAATCTCCAGCGATAGATATAAGGCCACCTTCTACTTACTGTGCAGGCACCAGAGGCTCCAACATGGCTCTCTGAGAAGATGGCCACCTCTGTGACAGTTACAGTCGCCAGCCATGGAACAGCTCCCAGCGCCATAACATTGCCCCAGACCCTCTCCAGAGTTAGGGAGAAGAGCCCCTAAAAGGGAAAGAAAGAGAGGGATAGCAGGGGTCCTGAGGGGAATGGAGGATGATGGCGGAAGGGGGAGAGCCAGAGAGTTTGTCTAGGACACCGTAATAGAGAATTAGGCAACAGACTAGGACCCAATGGAAGGGAGATGCCATGGGCTAGGACTTAGCACCCACAGCTTCGGACATCAAAATACAAGGATAACCTTGGCTTCACTCACTTCAGACAAGCATCAGGGATATGTATATCATCTCACGGTTGGCTCCGGCCACTTTCATGCAGAGACAGATCAGCGTCCCCTGGTTAGCCATACGGCCACGCACAGAGCCGCTGTCATCCGGAAACTGACATGATGACAGCGGCTCCGTTCTCCTCACCGCTCAGCCATCCTGAAACTTGTGGCTTCTCCCCGCCAGCTGACGCTTGCTGCTCCGCGCCTCACCCCCCAACCCTGGAGATTTTTTTTATCCCCGTTGCCACAGCCCCTACAAGCGGGGGTCAGCAGCAGGGGTCACGCCAGTGCGAATACGCCACTGCCCTAGACCTGTATAGCACCCTGCAACTAACCCAACCCATTGTACTATGTGCCATGGTGGGTGCTGAATGCAAGATCCAGTGCCTGAAGCTACATTACAGGCTGGTCCCACCTCTTCAGTCGTAGTCCTTGTGGGGCCTACGACTCCCATCGTGGGGCACCAAACCAGAAAAACTGCACAATCGCCAGTAGACGTATGCAGCCAAGAAAATGGGTTAAAGAAATCATAAATGTAAGTCTATTAAACATTCTCTCAGAGAGAAAAAAATTACATCCATCACCTAAACGCTAACAAATAACCGAGGATATCCTGTTGTGGGAGGGGTTATATAGGGGCCTACAGCTCTGGCCAATGTCCAGTCACCTGACGATACCGCTGTATTACTCAATGGTCTCTGATTCAGCCTGTGCCCTGTACAGTACGGTCAAGAAACATCAGGCCTTAACTGTGTACAGTGACCCTATCAGTTCAGTAAAAAAAAAAATCCAATGTCAGGTCTCTGCAATATAAAAGGGATTATTCTCACCTCTCTAGTTGACCATGTATTTTGTGTTACCTCCCTTCCAATGCTGCAGCTTCCGTCAGACTATTCAGTATTTAACACTTCTGTGCGTATCGGATGTCTGCGTCCCCCACCACACACTGGTCCATACTCAGACCCCATACGATATTCCTGAGTCATTTGGTAATGTAGGGCTAGAGGAAGGAACCACAGCGTGCAGCTGGGAACACAGGCTGCCCACACTCCATCATATGTCAAATGCTCAAGAGTCTGATGGAGGCTGCAGCACTGGAACAAAGGTAAGGTAGAATAAATGGGCTGCTGGATATTGATTATCATCCCTTTTCTGTTGCATAGAACTGTTTTTTTTTTTGTTATTAAACTGACAGCATCCCTTTAAAGTGTATTTCCACTTTTGCAGCCGTTGGGGTAACATTTGTTTTATATTTGTTACATGTTTCCATACACAGAGCTTATCTAAACAAAATACTTAAAAATGCTTCGGGCAGATTGGATTGCTTTTTCTTGGGCTAGGGTACGTGGTGTATTTTGGTTTGGGGCTGCCCTAGGCAAGATGAAATTCAGACACCCCCAAT